CTCAAACGCTTTCTGCAATGATTCATTGGGTTCCATATCTTAATTTCATATAGGTTTAATTAGTTTTCATTAGTATCTTTTCAAATGAGAAAGGGTTGAAGCAGGTGAGTGGGGAATTTTCATGTTCCCACTAAAATTAGGCGAGACGCATGCTGGTGGCAGCGTAAGGGATAAGGAGTATCCTTATTCGTTGGGAGCCCTACCCTTTTTAAATACTCTCAGACCCCGCGACTTCGGAACTTGGGTGCAACAGGCAACAGGCAACAGGCCGTGATCTCCACTTAACACGCAGAATGACGTGCTATCAACCACGATTCCTTCAATACTAGGAATGAGCTGAAACTCGAGAATATGATAGGACTAGCAAAATACAATTTGTGTATTCACTTTTTGAGTTATTTGGACTAGTAGTTATAATGCAGTTCAGGAGTTGTTCATACTATGGTTTTGATATTCTTGCGCTTTCCTCAAATTGGGTTCTTCCATGTGACTGTGCTAGCGCACAACCACAACTTTGCGGCCGCTTTGAAAAGTCGATAAAATATTTATCTCGCCTCAAATAACATTTTCCTCCCGCAAAAGAATTTTCCAGCTATTGTAGCCGTTGAGATATCTTCGATGTTCTTTGGTTAATTAGGTCACGAAGTACTGCACCCCCTGGTGCTCTAACGAGCCTACTGGCGGTAGTCTGTGCGCCCAGGCTGCTTTTCAGGCTTCCAATTCGTCTAGAAACCAAAGTCTCCTTTTTCATTTCTAAAGTTCTCTGCAATTACTTAATAATGTAAGCTTTAATTCAAGGAAACACTTTGAAAGAAGTTAAAAAGTGTTTGCAGCTACGGTTTAAAAAAATCGAGAAACGATGCAAAAAGTCGAAATTTTGTTATAGGGGTCATGAGTAAGCAAAAAGCCCTGATCGCACAGACTATCGCTGTCAGGCTCGTAAGAAAGCTTCGAAACCTTCTGTGGCAAGTTTAAACAACAGCTCAGCTTCCCCGAACAACTCCTTCGAACCACGTACGCTCGCCATCATATCCCGAGCGTTCCTTAATCCCAGCGCATGCCTTCATCAGCCTCATAGCCGTCCATACCCCGCCATAGGCTCTGTCGTCCTCCCTCATCTCATCACTAGCTAGCATATTGATCAGGCTATTATGAGCGAGGAGGAAAGAGCACTCGTCTAGTTTAGGCAAATGAGGAGATATTGAATTCCAGAAGACCGAAGGAAACCAAAGTAAAAGGGAGGAGATTGTATGAAGCAAAAACACAAAGACCTGAACATTAATATCGAGAAGATACATGGTCGACAATGCAGTAACTGTCACATTGTCCCACAGCTTTAAATTTAGGAAGGTAAAACTGGGCTTCTTAAATCTCTTCAATGCAAGTGACAAAATTTCGTGCGTTATGTTCTCCCCTCAACATTCGGAGTATGACTCCAGCATAATACTAGGTAAACGAAGACGCAAGAGATTCGTTAGCAATTGGGGAGCCTATTCTGGCTCCCACACAAGGACGGCGATATTCCTATCTTCCAGCGCAGTGAATGTACTAGCGGTTCTGGGCTGAAAACGGAAACCACAAAACCACAGCTTGCAAGTCATGGTTTTAATGCCGAGTCTACCGCTGCCTGAATCGACGTCTTCAGGGCTGCCGTTTCAATGCTTGATACGAAGGCGCATGATTAGGGAAACTTTGAATACAAAGTAAATGACAGTGGAGCCTTCAAAAAGGCACGAAATAACCTTATCGAACATCAAACTCGCTGCATTTCAATTTTCGATACGTCAAAAGACACCGTACCAACCAAGTCTCGATCAAGTCTCGATACTCGCCGCCTAAAGAATTTCAAGACCCAACGGCCTCGAGGAGATCACCAATTGGCAGCCACTTCGGGCGGCACAGCGGGTGACAGCGGAACAACGGTCGGACCAGGATGCGGCCCCATGTCGAACGCCTCTCAGGGGTTGAGATGCTGCGGAGAAAAGCCTCAAACATCTCCAGATATTTGAACCGATCCGAGAGCGAGAAGACCTCCAAGCCAACAATTCTGATATGTGAGATTCCCATACTGGAGCAATACGAACATGCAGCAGCACAGCGAGACAGACAAGATTCCATTTGTCGACATGTACGACTTTGGCACCAAGACTTCCCTCCTGTCAATTCCCAATTTCGACCTGCATGGCCCCTAGTCTTCCCTCCTGCTGTGCCTCAACAACCCCCCCACAAACCATGATTCCGTACAAAGCCCCTTCGTCACACTTCCACTTGAGCCCTCTTTCCTCCTCTCTCATCCACCTCATGAGCAAAAATGTCGACCTCAACATCCCCATCTTCAACAGGGACAATCACCTCAGCACCTGCTCTAACAACAACATTCACTCCCGCAGCCAGCTGCACAAACGATTTCTACACCAACACTGAATCCAACTGGTACAGCATAGGAGGACCATTAGCAAGCCAATGTTTCCCCTCAGGATGGGCAAGTACAAGCCAGTATTTCAGTCCTGGAATTTGTCCAGATGGATATACGCAAGCTTGTTCTAGTTTGAACGGCGCTGAGACAAGGGCGACTTGTTGTCCGAGGTACGATGATAAAGCCCAATGTCCCATCCTCCAACAGAGATTGAGAAAATGAAATGCTAATGATAAGCGGCAGTGGATATGTATGCTACACCCCCACAGCATTCAACTTCCCCGGCCAAGCCTGCGCCTCAATATTCACGAGCCAAATCACAACGACGGTGACTGATGGATCGGCGCTAACGGTTTTGCTCGCGACGCTGCATACGAAAACGGAGGCTGTGAATGGGTATGGGGTTTCGATTCGGTATGATGCGAATGATTTCGTGTCTAGCACATCTTCATCTTCATCCACGTCCGGATCGAATACCAGCTCGCAGACTCCAACTTCGACGTCTTCTGGGACAAGTACCGGTACTGGGTCGCCGAGTCCTAACTCGAGTTCCTCTTTAGGTCTATCAACAGGCGCAAAGGCAGGAATCGGTATTGGAATAGCTGCCGTGGCGGTGATAGCATTGTTCGTATTAGGGTTCTGGATTATGAAGAAGCGGAGAGCGAGAGCTGGAACGGATTATCAAGTCGCTCTGACCGGAAAGGAGGCTTGGAGAGCAAATGCGCAACCAATTCATGAAGTATATACGCCGCCATCTGAGCTGGGCGGGAGCTCGCCGAGACACCAGGCGTGAGCAAGTCCGAACTTGAGATGATGAGTTATTTGTGTACATGTGGGTCAGGTATTGTGTTGATGTTAATGATACCCAATTTTGTTGCCTTGTGGGTTATCGATTGACAGTGAAGATTGCGGTTGAGATCATGGCATGTGAAGTCGCAAAGTGCAGTCGCCTGACGCGATGCCTTGAAGCTCCCAGCCTTGCTGGGATTCCCTCACCCGTGTTCCATGCGGCCAAGAGGATGACAACAAGTTGGGTCCGGATGTGTACGTCGAGCAGAGTTCAGACAGAGCTGGTGGATTGAGATTTGAAGCCGCTTGAAGAAGTTGTTCTTCAATGGCATTAGTTGTAGGACACTAGACCACTCTGATAAGGTAAGTTGGAGATTGAAAACAATTCAACGCCCCTCATCTGATCTGGCGACATAGCCTCTAAAGCCGTTGGTAGTTTCGACCCCTAGCAGCATCTTGGGGTCAGCATTTCGTACATTGGCAATCAATGTTCTGGAATATCTTAAAACTCACAGTTTCTGTGAAGGGGCTCCGAAGCTCTTGGTCGCGTTTCCATGCCCATTCTCCAATCATGACAGCCCGCAAAGATGCTGAAGCAGAGGATGCCTGCTTTGCATACATTAAAGCCACTTTCTCGTCAAAAGACCCGTAGCGGCGGCGGCGAAACATCATTCTGGGCTCGCGGTTCTCTTCGTACCCCATAGAGCCTAGACTCCACAGACCCGAAGTTAGCCTTTGAAGTAGCTGGAGATGTTATCTTCCACTTTCGTAGGAAGTCATGAGGTTGGGATCGAAGTTTATGTCAGCCTCAAAATGCCGTGTAAATCTGAGGGCTAAGTGGCTGCAGCCGTGGACGTTCTGTCAACGATGAAGGCACTTGGAATACATAGCTTCGGTATAGCGGAGGCGTGAAGACGTGATATAGATAGCGACACACCTTCTTCAACACGTTATACAATTAGTAGCTGCCCAACTAGGAATGTCAGCTGATTGAAGTATTGAGGATTGTCTGATTGAGAGTTCGAGGCTCTTCCGTACCTGATTTCCAATGAGAATCCATACTTATACGGGCAGAACTTCCGTATGCATTTTGAATGCTTGGTCGGCCTGTGTGGTGGAGCTATGAAAGTGTTGTTATTTGTCAAGAGTCGAGATGTCGTGGCTCGCAAAAAGTAAGTTCCAGCCTTCAACATCGCATCATGTGTGACATTTATTCATGCAACGCATTCTCAGTGTGAACTTTTCTCTTGGATACAAGTTGAGAGCTTAGATTCTGACACGAAGCAGGCGTGGCAAAAACACTTGGAGTGAGTAAGACTCAAGAAGTGAAGTTAAACAAGCTCAACGACTTGCACAGGTTCACTGCACAGTCCACCTCATAGTTTTCCAAGAAAGACGAAATAAAGTCGCTCAAATGACAAGATCAGAACAGCTTTCCAAACTCGCAGAATAGACACAAGATGGAGATGATGGTGAATGATAGTGGATTGAATCATACCACTGAAGGAGGTGTCCAACATAACGTGGATGTTGACGGCTGACGGAAAGCAGGAAAAGAGAAACTGTGCATGCAAATCTAGATCTAGAAATTGCAAGAATAAATGATTGGGAATGCGTGAAGAAGAGCAAGAAGAAACCCAGATCTGAGAATGTAAGGAACAGATGAAAGTGGAAGGAAACGAATGACTCCGTTTGCTGCCGTGCCCCACTTCCCTGGTCATGTAATAGCACTTCGACCCCGCTACCCAAACTGCCTTATAGAATTAAATAAATACTTTCTTTGCATCAAATACAAGAAGGCTTGGTGTAGTGGTAGCATGTCTGATTCCAGTGAACTTGCGGGTATCCAGATGGTCATCGGTTCAAATCCGATAGTCTTCAATTCTTCTTTTGCTTTTTGATTATTCTTCCGGAAGCAACGTTAGAGCTTTTGAGGCCTCTGTCAACCTCACAACTTATCTTTTACTTTTTTGCGCAATTTGTAGAGCCGAGCTGTTGCGTAGCTCTACAAACGGAAGGGACAAACGGACAAGCGAGGCCGAAGCGGTGGCAGTACCTACTACCAGTAAAATAGCAGATGTGAAAGAGTCATCGTATCGTCCATGCTCAAAACTCGTCTTTTGCTATTGTTGGTCCTTCGAGTCAACATCCACCCACGTGTTTGACTGGCTTTAGGTCCAAGCCATAACTGACAAGAGTCACACTTGGCTGGTGAAGATTTAAGAAATTCTGGGCACCTCATAGCATCTTTACCAAGAACAAGTTCACGCCCAGAAGATCAATGCATTTAAGGAGGTACAGGCTGCAGAAGCTATGTGCAGTGTAGGGTATCCTTCTGCGTAAAATGACGTATCAAGAACAAGTAGTGAAATCAAAATGCCTGTAAGCCAACCATGTCGTATTGCTCGCCCTTCTGCAGAAGCAAGCATCTCATGAGGTGTAACATCTGTTCGTGATCTCGTGAAGGGTCTGCTCGTGAGAATGCCAGCCTTATTTCTTCCCCTTCCCCTTGGCTGCCTTCCCGGCAGTCCCTAAAGCTGCCTCTCTTCGCTTTGCCTCGCGAGCATCAATCTCGGCCTTCTTCGCCTTCTCAGCTTCCTCGCGCTCTTCCTTCTCGGCCTGCGTATATCTATTAGCATTATTCCCTCCAATACATGATCATTGTGACGAACCTGCTTCCTGGCAGCCTCTGCTTCTCTCTTCTCTCTGATCAACTTCAATCTAGCTAGATCTGCCTTTGCCTCGTCGGTCTTGCCAGCCTCATGAAGCTTCTGATATCTTTCCTTGGCCTGCTGTGCTTGTACCGCCTCTCGCTCTCTTCGGCTCAGCTCTGCCACGGGCTTCTTCCCCTTGCCCACACTTAGATCCTTGACCCCTTCTGCCGCCTCATCGACCGTAACTGGTGCAGCCTTTGCTTGATTCCTCGCAGCTTTTGAGTGGTTTGGGTTTGCAGGCATATCATCTTCGCTCTCCTCCTCTGAGCTGGAAGGCATATCACCCGGTTGTGGAACACCCTTCTTCTTTGCGATAGCAGCTTCCTTCTTGGCCTTGGCCGCAGCACGACGTTCTTCACGAGTCAGGGTTGGCTTGTTCGCGTCTTCCTCTTCAGATGAAGACTCTTCCTCTGAGCTATCCTCCTCTTCTTCAGATGAGTCGGCATTTGGGTCTCGTTCGGCGATTTCGTTTCCTTCTGAGTCGAGGGGTCTAAGGTTCTTCGAGAAGTGCTTTCCTCCTAAATGACGTGTCGGTCTTGCGCTTGGATATGCCGAGTGCCTTGTACATACCTCCTCGTGTGAATTTCTTGAATTTTCCTCCTCTGCCACGACCAGCACCTGGGGGTCCTCCTGGAGCCATGGTTGTTAATAAGACCGAGTGAAGTTTATTCTTCTCTTTGGATCAAAGCAGACGTGTGTTGAGACCGTGCAGCAGAAATCGGAACGTTGTTATTGTACGTGGCGGTTCGGTAGAAGATCACGTCCTCGAGATGTCTAGTTAAAGGCGATGCATTTCTGAGTCGATGGAGGGGCAGAAGGTCCCGCTTATGGTTGGCGCAGAAGACGCTAATCTATTCTAGGTTAGTTAGCACGTGATGCAAAAATTTCTATGTTCTTGAAATCTCACGACTCAATTTCTTCTTTTCTCTTCATAAAACAAACTGAAACAAACCTTCCTATTCACTCTGGCTTACGTCTCTTTCAATGGCAGGTCTTGGAGGGGAAATGGGAGGAGAGAACAGAATTTCGCTGAGACTCATTTTCTAACCTTCAGCATGTGAATGCATTAAGGTATCGAGCAACATCTCTGGCGGACATTTCTTCATCAGAGAAGAGTAATATTATTATTCGATTGGCTACGTAGGCATTGAAGGGACTCGAGAAGTGATTTTGCTGAGTCTTTGCTAACAGCTTTCTTTAGACTGTCAAAGACAAGTCGTTGCGTTATTTGCTGGCACCGCATTTAGAAATGGCTTCTTTGTCTACAAATGTCTGTTTTTCCTTGCAAGATTCACAACAAACGCAGACCACTCAATTTATCTTTTGAATGTACCTTTTCTTGCTGTACAATTTCCATTTATTCCATACCAAATCTCCTGATATTTATCTCCAGGAAAACACCTCTGGCCGAATTCGAATACCAACAGTCAGTCGATCACCAATGGCAACCTGTAACCACGAAACGACGTTCTTGCAGGTTCCACCCTCACTGACATTCCTTGTCCAGAACTACCCTCACATCGCGCCTCACCAAACCCTCGACCGTTCCATCCCTCGATGCAAACTCTGCGACCTCATCGCAGCACACGAGCGAGCCACCATCGCCGAGAACCCTCCTCCATACATCAACGTTGTCGAGCGGATCAAACGCGATATCAAATTGATTGACGAGCTGGTCACAGCAGATGTTGCCACGAAACAAGATAAAGAGGACTTGAATGTGCTCCATGCGCAACTACGGGACGCGATCATGCTCGCAGATATAAGGATTCAGGAGGCTTGGTACCCATACTGGGCAATCTGGGGGCCGGGTGATGGACCTGAGGTGCTGGATACTGTCTTTGATGATGGTGAGGACCTCGTTGATTGGGGAGTTTGAGCCTTCGATGCTGCGAACCCGCTTTACAAAGCTCCGAGACCGACCCTCTGTCAAACAAAGCCGAGGGCTTCAACACGACAGAAATGCAGCCGGACATGTTCCGAAATCTAGCATCGGTACCATTGCAGGTAAATATCGTCTCGCTATCCGTAATCAAATGTATTCGTTTCTTTTCCAAAAATGATGTCTTTTGCCTAGTCTATGTGAGCTTTTCGGTACTTGACCTGTAAGAATTACCTACCTCCCCGGCGTAATTGCCGGCACCACCGGTACCATATCTCTCGCTGGCTGGAACTTCACCCGCACCGTGCCCGTCATCGCCAGTGTCTTCGGAGGCCTAGCTCTCGCTTGTTCAATCGCAGCATTTACACTTGCTTGCTGTCTATGGTGGAATGGCGATGGTGGTACGGGATGGGTTTAGAATTGTATTTTGTAGGCATGGTGCTTTTGTACCATTTACGTTGATTTTTGGGGCGTTGTATTCGGGTTAGGTGTTGGCGGTTGTTGGGGGGGATTTAGTGGAGTTTCCGTATAAGGCGAAATGTGTTACGAAGGTGTTGTGGGTGATGTATATGATTGGGAAAAGGTTGAATTTGTTTATGATTCGAGGGGCGGAGTTGAGAGGATTTGCGCAGGTCAATCTAGAAGGTGGAATGTTTCAAATACTTTTATACTACTAATAATCAAGTTCTATACATCAGCTTGTTGGTTAGACATGAAGTGTTGCATGAGGCACGATTGAAAAATTTCGAGGCTCATGAAGTATCAATACATTCATATGTATTTTGCCCAGTCAGCTCAGCGACTTGACGAGGGAATAACCCTGAAAAGCCAACGCCTTCCCCGATACCCGCAAACCAACGCCGAAATCATAATCATCTGCTTAGAACCCCAGTCCCTTGGTGATCCCGCCAAACAGAAGACTCCTTGTCTGCTTCTTTGCGAACTTGCTCGCGTCGTCTGCCCATCCTTGACTATTCTCTAACATCCTATCCGTACTGTCTCCCATGATATTCAACTTCTCCGTTCTCTCATTCAGCTGTCTGGTCATGTACTCTCCCCACCCCTCCGAAGACACTGTGCCAGGAGCACGACTTGACCCTTGCCCACCAGAGCGAGACAAACGCTCTTCTTCTGCGGCTGCCATTATCATACGCTTGCTTGGTGGTCTGTCCGGTCCACCGATAAGTAGATCTAGATCTGTTGGACTGACGTATTGAGTGCCAGAGATCCATTGGAGGTTTGAGATTGTAGGTCGAGGCGGAATCAGCGCTTCTGGATTAAATAGCTTGTCTTGAGACTTGGGTAGTGATTGTCCCGCGCCCCAAGCTCCGAGCATTGCGATCTCCGACGGGCCTGTCCAGCCAAAGAGGTCGCCAGAAGAGGTGACTATGGCATTTGTAGATCTCGTTTTGTCCAGCATACCGACCTTCGCAACGCCTATCTCTTTAAGAGATGGTAGCGAATATGCTCGAGCAGTACCGTCACCGAACAGACCCACGAGGGCGTGGGCACGATCCTCGAAGTCAGTCACGTTGGCAGCATCGCACAAGAAATCATCCCACGTCTTGTGGGCACCCTTTGCTGTGGCAGGTTTGAAGATACGAGCTTCTGTTTGGGTGACTGGAGCAAGTTAGTTTTGCAGTTAATGGAGATTCTTGGAGGATTCCTTACCAACAACAAGTGTTCCATGAGTCTTTGTACCCGTCCTCAAAGCACCAACGGTAGCCCCAGTTGCAGGTGCGAGTCTTCCAGTATCGGCATTGATAGGAGAGATCGAGATAATACGGTCGGAACATGATGTGAGACCTGCGAATTGGGCTGTAAAGCTCGCGCCTTGAGGCAAGATCTTGAATGTAGCAACCTTCCCAAGATTCGTGCCTACAAAGCATGCAATACTCGAATAATCATCACCGTCTAGTGTCATGACCCCAAACTCAATGACCACGGGCCAATCTGGTTTCCCTGAAGTGGCAGAGTTTCCTTTTTTCATGAAACTGCTTCGTTTGTCGGCCTTGATAAACTCACTGAGTGATGCGCTAAATATGACCGCAGGGCCACGAAGGTCAATGATGGAGAACACACCAGCCTCAGAGCCAACACCAACGAATCCAACATCCGACATCTTGACTGCCGTTATGGGCCCTTTCGCCTTATCGTAGAGGACGAAGGGTTGAAGACCTTCCTTCAAAGTCGGTTCTGCATGAGCAGAGATGTCCGTGAGTCCTCCAGGAATAACTTCTACCTGCCCTTCGCGGCCAAAGAGTTTGTTGCCACCCCATTTGAAG